CATTGGTGAATGCCACAAATTCTCCTAAATCACTCGTACGCACAATTTAAGAACAAATCTGTGCGTACGAACGGTTCTTGCATGAGGCCCATTGTTCAATACTAAACTACAATCCCACTTGTTGTGAAAATGCTGTGTGTACATGTAAAAATGGACTTTGCATCATAGCTAAACTCCTTGAAATTGACATATCTCTTTAAGAACCTCCTACCGTTTCTGCCACTGCCACTTCAGCACGTCTTCAACAGTGCTTCATACCATTTAAGTGAAAAATCAGATCATTTTTGACAAACCGCTAGTGGAGGAGCTGTGTTGGGGAGGCACGGTGGAGGAGTGCTCTGTGGGGTGGGAGCTCGACTGCACACCGAGCTCCAGGGAGGGGCTTTGGGTAAATAGGCGGTGCTTTGTATCAGCAAGTATTTAGGCAGATCCAAATGGCTACAACAGGAGATTCAAGGATTTCACAAACCTGCATGAATGAGTCAAAGCAATACTGGGTATGTTTTTGATGAGAGAACAACATTATAACATGATAAAGCTCAAAGTTAATTTTGCCTAACACCTCCTTTAAAGAATGTGGGACCTTTTATTAAACCTACACATCTCTGCCTTTTGATTTAGTTCCTAATATTTTTGCAGCTTTTTCAATCATGTCGTGTCAGCTGACACGACATGAATATTCCCCTCAAAGTATTTGTGAGTGGAGGAAGTGCTCGAGTCAAGCAGCACATTTTGACTGATGCCAAGCACTTCCTTCGATCTACAACTCTGTCTCACTTCTCTCCTGTCTCTGTTGTTTCAGAGCTCTGTACTTGAACTACAGTTGTCTAGCCTCATTGATTCAAGCTTCCCTCAAAAGGAAGCGCACTCTATTTTTCGTAATATTCTTTTGTTTCGCGCGGACTACAAATACTTTCATTCACCGCCCCAGAAACAGCATAAATGCTTCTGGTTTTATGTTGCTTGTAATGATGTTCATTGGATTAGAGAGGGAAAACATGGTAAGAGGGAGGATCTTCGCTTTCCCCTTTTTAAGTGCTGAGAATGAGCTCGTTCATCATCTGAGTTTTTGCCTCCTCAGCCAAAGAATGTCATCAACTCGTGACAAAAATTCACCCGAATAAGGGTTTAATTTATTTGCAGAAGTTGTGTAACGACGTTTTTGGCTGTTTGTTGCTTTTTATTAATRATGAAACAGAAGCTGCTCGTGTTACATAGAGTCGGCTATTGTTGTCCTGCTGTGACTTGTTAGAAAAGAACGCCTCCCTTTACATTGTTCAGGGTCCAAAACATGCTTGCACATTTACTTTAGAAGTTGCATGATATGGAAAAGTAGACACAATGCTGGGATCAGGAGTATTGTTTTCTTTGGCATTCTTTAGGTCTAACCAATGTAGCTGGTTTTTTGAGCTGTTTTTCTTCTTTTGCAGCTGGATTTTTGGGGGTAGTGAGATACTTTTCTAAACTCTTCCTGTCTGTTCTCTTCAGTGTGTTTTGGAAATTGTTACAAGAATCTTCTATATTGCTTCCTAGACTTTCTTGTAGTCTTTTAACTAGGGGTGTCCCGATCAGATACTCAGTATCAGTGGTAGATATGGCCATTTTTTTGAAAATAGTGTAGAATCGGATTTAGTCATGTGATTGGGCCGATCCAGTTTTCGCGGCAGTTTTCAGCATCATCATGCTTTACAACTGCCGTTAAGAAGTCAAGACGCACACAAGTATGCAACCACGTCCACAGTGTGGGAACACTTTTCAATGGAAAACAATGATGCTGAAACTGCATCTTGCAAAATCTGCAAACTGGATGTTTCTCGCAGTGGGAACAGCAGGGCTCGCTTTAATACTACCAACCTTGTCACTTGGAAATAGGGTTGAGCATAGTCGTATCGTGGGCAATTAATCGTCAGAAAAACATTAATCGATTACTTTTTGGCACTTGACGATTAATACGATTAATGCCACCAGTCAGTTCGCTCACTGCTCCTCTCTGCTTCAAATATGATGAAAATTAAAAAAAGTTCTGTAATTTATTGATCTATCAGCACTATTTAAAATTTGATGTATAGCTTGAAGTCTGTAATTTTGACACAATTTGGAACAGATTTTTACGAAGAGCAAATCTTTCCCACTAAATTGGTCATGTGACTAAGACACAAGAGTTTCCAGGGACTCCAGATGACTTATCGTCAAATTAATCGTTGTCGGCTGAATACCACAATTAATCATGATTAATTTTTTTCCCAATATTGCCCAACCCTACTTGGAAAGAAATAAAAAATAAAGCTATCGGATCGGTATCGGAAAGACTAATCATTACAAAAATCTTATTGTATCGGGATCCAAAAAATCTGGATTGGGACATCCCAAATTTTAACGGGGTCTTGATCAAAGTCCTTGGGGCTTTCTGTAGTTTCTTCAAAGTTTTTCTTTTGAGTGTCTTCTTTTTTACTTATCTTTTTTTTCTAATCCTTATACCTGACAATGACTGCATATAGGGGTGTAAGAAAATATCGATACACTGAAATATCGCGATATTTCATTTCCCGATACTGTATCGATATTCTAAAGCCCTGTATCGATTTTTTTTATTAAGGTTTAAAATGTCTACTTTCCTGCCAGCCATTCATTTTTATGTTGTAGTTCAGCCTCTGACCACTAGTTGGCAGCAGTGAGCCAGCCATTTGGTTACTCTACCCCTTGAGGTATTTATATTATAGGCTATTGTTAAGTGTTGGGTGACCATATTGTAAATTAATATTAAAAACTAAAAGCTGCAAAAATATATATTTTCAAACTATTTATTGTCAAATTTAGTCTAATAATTGAAAACGTTGATGAAATAAGAAATATGAAAAATAAAATACATACAAAGCAGAACACAGCTAAATGTATCAAAAGTATGTCTATGAAATATTAGAATTTTCTGAGACAATGAATTTTGGTTTTTCATTTTTTTTYCCCYRGWAAGAGGTTTTTATTTAATAGARTTTTTGGACAAAAAATCGCAGTATATCGCAATATATCGCCTTGCTTAAAGTATCGCAATATATCGGAATATATCGTATCGTGACCCTCTGTCATGATATGTATCGTCTCGCCAAATTCTTGCCAATACACAGCCCTAACTGCATAGTGTGCAGTGTGTGGGAGAAAAAAGTTCCTGTATTTTATCACAATTTCTCTGCAATTTTCAGACAATACCTAGTCTCAAAATAGACACAGGCCTGCCAAATACCACCTAAGAAAAGAAAAGAGGAATGATTTAAGACTTGTGCACACTACTGTACCTAAGAAACTAAGAGCTTCTTGATTGTCAGAATTTATAGTAACAAGAAAAAGTACACATACGTTTCTACTGGTTTATAAATTAAGTGGTCGTGTATTTCAGGTCTGTCAACACTGCTGCTGTTCCAAAACATCACATCCAAAACGATTCTGCATCTATTTATGGATCTGTGTTTGCAAAATGTCACCCAGCATGTGCAACACGAGATGGGAAGTACCGGAGCCAGCTTCACTCAAATTTACCAACCTCTTCCCTGGCAGAAAGAACATCCTCACAAAAGGGAGTCTGTTTACAACCAGCAGCCCCTCTGCTCTATGTGCCACCTAGCTGCTGCGCATTTCACTCATAACAGATGTTAAAACTATAGGGTCTAAAGACAGCGAGCAGGAGGAGGGGCGCTGACACTAATCTGCACAGCCTGTCCTCTGTTTGACATGGCTATCAGATAGCTCTGCGTTTTAAGCTGCACAGCTCTGTCTGTTCAGCTCGAATCCTGACAATGTGATGTCTGTTCTCACACCAGGTTAGCTGGAAGCTACATCTAGAGGTCATCAGAACTGTGGATTAACGTCAAAACCATGAAATTTGCATTTTGTGTGCATTTGACTCTCTTCCAGAATTCTCCTCGACTTTAATGTAAATAGGTTTGGACTGTGAACAGAATGATGCACTGGCAGTGTGATTTGTATTAAACATGACAGCAGTTGTCGTTGCATCTTGATTCTTTTACAAGAAACATCGAAGCCGCGCCAAGAAACAAACGAATGCATTTGTTATAGCTGGCTGCCAAAAGGCAAAATGATGATGAGTTTTTTGTTTGTGCATCTGCCTGTTAACTAAAAGTGGCAAAAAGCAACAATACCTACAGCTGATTACCATTTTAATTCAATCAAATAGACCAGTGCTAGACACATGCGCACTCATAACTGATATTCAAKATGGCTACCACAGCCAATTGACCTTCAAAAACACAAAAAATGCTATAACTTTTTTGATTTTTGCAGAAACTGAATTTGTCCTGGCAATAGTCGAGATTGATTTCCAAAAGAAGTTTTAATGAAATTTGTCAAATGGGTCATTTGATGTGGTTGTTACTAAATGTATTTCATAGCACGTGCTAAGAGTGATCAGGTTTCTGAGAAGATTTGACCAAAAACAGCTGCAACTTTCATTTACCAACAGAAGAAGTTTTGTGGAAGAATTTTAGAATTATAGGTATGCATGCATTGTGAATCGTACCAAAAGAACTAATAATTGATTGGTTTGAAAGCTAAATGGTACTTTCATGATCATTTCTGATATCCTATTATAATGTAGAATGTGTGTTATGATGTCTACATATCTTTTWTCCTGGTTTTCTTTCYCTCTCCGCTGCAGGTGTTGTTGAAGGAGATCTGGCAGCTGTTGAAGCCTACAAATCATCTGGTGGTGACATCGCCCGGCAGCTCACGGCTGACGAGGTTCAGCTCCTCAACCGGTCCTCTGCGTTTGACGTCGGCTTCACCCTGGTCCATTTGGCTATTCGCTTCCAGAGACAGGACATGCTGGCTATCCTGTTGACGGAGGTAGGGCGTGTGTTTAGACTGTTGGTCTGTGGGAAAATAAGTTATTTTGTTTGACCACGTAGTTTCATAAATGTGCTGCTAAAACAGTGGAAAATATAAAGTTACCACCATCCTAAAAGGAATAAAAGGCCAATAGCCTTGTGACATCTATTGTAAAATTTGCTTTAATGGATTTTATGSAGTTATTTATTCAACTTGGTCATTTATACCAAATTCACTGTATTGAACCGTGCATCACTGATGCATTATTTGCAGCGGAAGTGCACTTTGAGGATTATATGGAGGATTAGCCTGGCTTCACTCACTGGTTCCTAAGGGACAGTTAATACAGATCTGATGTTATTTCCAATGTGAGGAAGCAGCAGTTTATAGAAGTGTGTGTGTGTGTGAGCGAGCGTGTCTTTCCTACCAAATGAGGGACAATTTTAGACTACACACCTACTTGTGGGGACCAACTGGTACTTATCTGGTACTACCTAAGCCTAGTCCCCATTTGAGGAAATGCCATTGGTGGGATGGGGTTAGGTTTAGGACCAAGTTGTGAAATTGAGTTTAGCTTTGGTTTAGGGTCAGGTGAGCCTCACAGGTGACCTGTGAGGTTAATTTTAGGGTAAATGGTCAGGGTTAGGATATAAAATTTCCAAAAAATGAATGTAGGTCAATACACGGTCCCCACAGGGATATACAAACCAAACCTGTGTGTGTGTGTGTACTTGTTTTGGCTACAGAGTGAGAACCATGTTAGGTTTTTAATCAACAAAGTGAGGATATTTTTGGAAAGTGAGGACATTTTCCCAATCCTCACTTTGTTTGCAGCTCTGTTGTGCTTTACGAGTTATGTTTAGAAGTATGGTGTGTATTAAGTTTTGGTTCAGGTTAGGGTTAGCTATAGACCAGTAATGGCTAATTTTAGGGAAAATGTCTGGGTTAGGCATAAATACATTTACAAAAATAAATGGAAGTCAATACAATGTCCTCAGTTTGATGCAAATACAAGTGTGTGTGTGTGTGTGCTCGCGTGTGTGTGTGTGTGTGTGTGTGTGCTCGCGTGTGTGTGTTATCAGTGTCAAACAAACATTGCTGCAGTGGTTTGAATATGGCTTCTGTAATGCTCCTCTGGATTAGTGTGCTAATTAGCCAAGAGCTAATTACATCTRCTCATTTCTTGGTTTTACAAAGTCATTTGCAAAGAACTTACAAAATAAATTGCTTCTTTTGTGCATCAAAAAATGATTTTTGCATCAAAAATAGTGTGGGAGAATGTTCACTAGCTGCAGTTAAATTATTTTATTAACTGGCGTTAAGCTCTGTCAATGTGACAAGTCCGAATTTGAGAAAATTTTCCTCATAGTTTTTTTTTTTTATATACCTCTGTTAAACTCCTTTTTTCAGTTTATTTTTATGGATGTTGTTGATAAATAAGGATAAACAGATGCTGAGATGGGAACKTGTTTCTGATGCTGCAATTTTTACAAGAGGTCGACTCGACTTGAGGGCTTTTTATGTCGACCGAGACAATCTATTTCTGTTTCGGAAATCCTGCCTCGTGGTTGTTTGGTGGACTTTAGTGTCTAAAATGTAACTTTGTATTAAACGTTAATGCTTTGGAGTGTCGTCGTTATCTTACAGACTTGCAACTTGCACATGTCCAAACGTCTGATCTTCAAAGGAAGCAAGGCCACTGCAGGACCCTGCTTTAGTTTTTATAGTTAAACAATTTTAACGCTAAATGTCAGATTATAACACACATGTCTCGCTGACTTTTTTTTTTTTGCCCAAACTCACAAAGTTCTCTGTGAGAGTCAGCTTCAGGTGGTTGTAGTTTATTATTAATATCTACATAATTTAATTCTACACTGTATTAACAATAACAAGGTGTTGTGGGTGTTCTCTGCTAAATTCGATCATATTTAGAATCATACTGAGTAAGTGTGCTATGAATGTAACTCGAATATGAATGAAATGACTACTTGAGCTGAAGTCCTGTTCAATTCCATTTCAATTAAATAATGTTTTAATGGAGAAATCTGTCCAAGGACTTCCTGAGCTATATTTATTTTTATCAGACAAACCGTCAATTACAAAAACACTACTGTAAAATAACATAAAAGTAAATTTATGAAAAGCTGTTTAAAATTTCTCTTTTTCTTCAGAATACCGTCAGTCTTAATAACCTAAATGGTGCAGGTTAAAGTCTCCCAAACCTGGTCCTCAAGTACCCCTATCCAGCATGTTTTACTTGTTTCCCTGCTGTTCAGCAGGTCTTCAGAAGATTGTTTATCACTCAATTCATTCAAACCAGGTGTGTCAAATCAGTGAACTGTCTAAAAATCACTGCTTTAAATGTTGACCAACACCTCAAGAGCTTCTCTGAGCTTGATGAGACATTTTCAAAATATAATATTGACCTAGTTTATTGCTTGGAAGCCAGTGATTCTTTATTTGTAAATAATAAATCAGATAACTCGTATTAAAGCAGTGATTCTCAATTCTGGTCCTCGAGGACTCCTTTCCTGCATGTTTGAATGTAAAAGGAAGTCATACGACCACACCAGCGCTGGGACTGAATCACAGGATTTCTTACGCTCTCCGTGCATTCAGCCAAGCATTTCCAGGAGGAATGTCATTACATCACCACCTTCAAGACCTGACTCCGCCTATTTTTGTTGCGTCATTCAGATTGGCCAGCCTACGGCTGAAATCAGACCCTCATACATTTTTCCTGTTCTAGTGTTAAAACAACGGTTCAATTAAGTGTTGAAGGTGTGTTCAGGCATGCATCTAATCTACCAGTACCTCCTGCCCTGTGTAACCATATACACTCACCGGCCACTTTATTAGGTACGCCTGTCCAACTGCTCGTTAACACTTAATTTCTAATCAGCCAATCACATGGCGGCAACTCAATGCATTTAGGCATGTAGACATGGTCAAGACAATCTCCTGCAGTTCAAACCGAGCATCAGTATGGGGAAGAAAGGTGATTTGAGTGCCTTTGAACGTGGCATGGTTGTTGGTGCCARAAGGGCTGGTCTGAGTATTTCAGAAACTGCTGATCTACTGGGATTTTCACGCTCAACCACCTCTACGGTTTACAGAGAATGGTCCGAAAAAGAAAAAACATCCAGTGAGCGGCAGTCCTGTGGGCGGAAATGCCTTGTTGATGCCAGAGGTCAGAGRAGAATGGGCAGACTGGTTCGAGCTGATAGAAAGGCAACAGTGACTCAAATAACCACCCGTTACAACCRAGGTAGGCAGAAGAGCATCTCTGAACTCACAGTACGTCGAACTTTGAGGCAGATGGGCTTCAGCAGCAGAAGACCACACCGGGTGCCACTCCTTTCAGCTAAGAACAGGAAACTGAGGCTACAATTTGCACAAGCTCRTCAAAATTGGACAAGAGAAGATTGGAAAAACGTTGCCTGGTCTGATGAGTCTTGATTTCTGCTGCGACATTCGGATGGTAGGGTCAGAATTTGGCATCAACAACATGAAAGCATGGATCCATCCTGCCTTGTATCAACGGTTCAGGCTGCTGGTGGTGGTGTCATGGTGTGGGGAATCTTTTCTTGGCACTCTTTGGGCCCCTTGGTACCAATTGAGCATCGTTGCAACGCCACAGCCTACCTGAGTATTGTTGCTGACCATGTCCATCCCTTTATGACCACAATGTACCCAACATCTGATGGCTACTTTCAGCAGGATAATGCGCCATGTCATAAAGCTGGAATCATCACAGACTGGTTTCTTGAACATGACAATGAGTTCACTGTACTCAAATGGCCTCCACAGTCACCAGATCTCAATCCAATAGAGCATCTTTGGGATGTGGTGGAACGGGAGATTCGCATCATGGATGTGCAGCCGACAAATCTGCGGCAACTGTGTGATGCCATCATGTCAATATGGACCAAAATCTCTGAGGAATGCTTCCAGCACCTTGTTGAATCTATGCCWCGAAGAATTGAGGCAGTTCTGAAGGCAAAAGGGGGTCCAACCCGTTACTAGCGTGGTGTACCTAATAAAGTGGCCGGTGAGTGTATTTATAGTCACCCAGACCAGTTTGTACATAAAACCATCAATTTAATCACAAAACTAATCACACAATAGTTTATAAAAATATATCGTTATTAGGGCTGCACAATATATTGCAAATTTATCGTTATCGTGATAACAGCCAGTGCAATATGCATATCGCAAAAAATGCATAAATTGCAATAAATAATTGGCTCTAATGTTTGCATTTATGTTGTCAACATCAGTCTGATAAACAAAATGGACCAGAGAAACAACATCAAATCATAATCACTCCATCATGTTGTAATGGAAATTATGTAGTAGTTGTTTTTTGCTCTGAACCCAGAGCAGAAAAACATCACTGTATATTTAATTTTTWAAAAAAAAATTATTTATCGCAAGTCATATCGTCATCGCAGTATTAAGCACTGTTATCGCACATCACAGGTTTTCATGATATTGTGCAGCACTAATCGTTATTCACCCAAGAAAAGACTACAGAATGTGTGGTGCTTTCAAAAAATCAGTAAATAAACAACCCCAATAAATTTCTTTAGTCTGATGACGAAGATGAGGAGGAGGAATTTCCACTTGCAGCTCCTGAGATATTCATGCTGTCTGACAGAACATTTGTATTTAGTGTAACATACTTATTAAATTACATTTTTTTAGATATTTTTTACCAATTTTATTGTGAAGGTTGCAGATGACAAAATCTTTTAGTTGCCAGGACAAGCATAAGGAAATTTTCCTCTTAACTTCCTCTTAATTAACTGTAACAATAAACAGCTGACTCTGCTTCTTTTGAAACTGCTCACACCGCTTTGTAAAAGTCAAACAAAGAAGGCTCGTATTGAGCAGAGTTGTACTACAAAAGGGTGAAAAAAACATAAATATTCTAAAAATCTTTCACAAAGCACAGAAAGCATAAAGATGGACTGGTCTGTGTGGCCGTTTTGAGGAACTGTTCTCTGAAAGACTTAAGTTTATAGTTTGGTGGCATTGTTGAAGTCATTAAGTTTCATATGATGGATTAGGGTYGGGCAAAATTGTGTTGTGTGCAACTGATCATCAGAAAAACTGTCACAGATGAAAATTTGGCCCTTTTCCGATTAGTCTTGCATGAGGATGTATTTTTGTGTGATGCATTGAGTCCATAACATAACAACAATGGTAACATAACAGCCCATTTGGTAGAAGTTGGACTTCTATTTGCAGCTCAATATTTTAACCTGTGAAAATGAAGATGTTAGTTTGATTGATTTAATATAATTATAAAACACAAGTCAAAAACATGAAAGTGCAGTATCCATCTAGCAGTTGTTATCKGTTAAATGCCGCAATTAATCTTGATTATTTTTTTTGCCAATATCCCCCCCCCATTACCCAGGTCTCTCTTGAAATAATCTCAGTGGGACTTCCTGGTTAAATAAAGGTTATAATAATCATGTATGTCCTTTTTTTCTGTTTTAAGGTGAACCAGCAAGCAGCAAAGTGTATCCCCTCCATGGTCTGTCCTGAGCTGACGGAGCAGATCCGCAGGGAGATCGCAGCGTCACTACATCAACGCAAAGGAGACTTTGCTTGTTACTTCCTCCCAGATTTGGTCACTTTCACTCTGCCTGCAGGTATTTATGACGACATGTTTGAACAGCTTACATTGTTGGCCTTCATTTAATAAGTTTAACCTGATTTAATAGTTCCTCAGTTTGTCTCGACATGAATTTGTCTTCACTGGGTTGCACTAGGAGAGCAGTTTTTTTTGCTGTTTTTTGCTCATCTAATCAAGTCTTACAATCTTCTATCCAGCTAAAAAGTATTTTTAATCTTGTTTTGAGACTAGACTTGATACCAAGCAAGAGCAGAATGTGTTAGATTATTAATCTTGTCTGGAAATTTTTCCTTAGGATTAGTGAAGAAGTATTAACAAGTGCAATTGTCTTATTCCACTGGCAGATTATTTCACTTAATTTAAGAAGATTCAGACTATAATCTGGTCATTTTAAATGTATTTTCAGATGGCTAAATTTTGCTTTGTGACCCAACTTTAGCTAAAAACGTTTTGACTGAGTGAGTAAAGCTAGGATCAGTTATTCTGCAGCGAAGAATAGGGGGGAAAAATATAGATATATATATATTGGTTTACTTTGGGCTCATTTGTAGAATTTTCTGTATTATTAAGTAAACTTTAATTATTTTTCCCCTTGATGTGAAGAGCTTGATAACAAGCTTAAAACAATGTGCTTTTTGCATTAAAGAAATCTGATTTAAAGTTGCTGGGATGAGGGGTTATGCAGGCTGTTGGACTGTTTGTTTGTGCAACACTCAGTTTGCAGCTGATCGCCTTTGGCCCGAAGCCAGCTGTCTGGTTCGGTCGCTCCTGCCCCCTCAGAGAAAGCCAATTCCATCCACTGTTGAACCAGAGAATAGCCACCAGTGTTCTGGCTTCATGTGGGCCCAGCTCGATGCACACAGAAACACAACACGCCGTACCGAGCTCATGTTTACAGTGCGCCATTGACAAAATGTCACCCGGTGAATGGAACCGCAGAGAACGTCCCTCTCTGTGGGGTCGTTAAAGTGGTGTTTGTGTTGCTCTCGGCTTCCTTCACTTACTGAATAATGCTCATCTAAGCAAATCTTTCCCACGTGTCTTTGCAGATATTGAGGATTTGCCGCCTGCTGTCCAAGAAAAACTGTTTGATGACGTGCTGGATCGAGACGTGCAGAAAGGTGCAGTCAGCTTTTTATACCTGGTGTCTGCACGTGTGATGTTTTTAATCTGGGTGTTTTTATTTAGAGAACAAAACCACTTTCTTTTTGTTCCGTTTCAAATCAGTTCACCTCCTGATTCATCTTCACCCCTTTCTCTAATTAGGTTAATCAAGTTCAATAGTTTCCCTCCCACGTGTTTAACCAATGTAATGCTGTCGTCTCAGCTGTGCGTGTGTGTTACAGATTTGAGTCTTTGTGCTGTGCTGAAGTTATAAAAGGAGTCCCATGGCCTATTTAATCTGTGAAAACTAGGCCACGTGGGAGAGGAGATTTATTTATTTTTTGCACAGAAAATATTTCGACAAACTGAGCTTTTTGATCATGTTTTCAGCATTTCCATCCTGCGATCAAATTTTCTTCTTTGCAAACCTATCTTTTTAGCTAAGAAAAGGAAATGTGAAACTAAATGTTTCTCTTCTTTTTGAGAAATTCGCCTTGTTTTGTGTTTTTAGCTTAGTGGAGCAGAATTTTGGTTCTGTTTGTTCCTTCACCTCGGTCTTCTTTTTGATTTTTGCCTTTTTTATTTGTAGAACTAGAAGAGGAGTCTCCTGTTATAAACTGGTCCCTGGAGCTGGGCACGCGCCTGGACAGTCGTCTCTACGCCCTGTGGAACCGCACAGCTGGAGACTGTCTGCTGGACTCGGTCCTGCAGGCCACCTGGGGAATCTACGACAAGGACTCTGTCCTCCGCAAAACCCTCCACGACAGCCTACACGACTGCTCCCACTGGTGAGACCCCCCCCAACCCTGCACGTAGGGCTGGGCGTTATGACCTCAATTTCATATCACGGTATAAATTGAATCCCTTCACGGTACCAGTATATATTGCGGTAGAAAATTATAAAAAGTAAAGATAATGTAATTTTTAGAGCATTTTTTGCGGAAAACTGTAATCATAATCAAACCCAGCATTTTTGCTTTAATATCTGCCTGCTATACAATGAGCGTTCCGCCTGCTGATCTCAGCTGCTGCTCTGCTGCGCGCTCATCTTCATCATCACCGTCCGACAGCTGCGGACATGAAAGCGCCTGCTGCGAAGCAGGAGGAAAGGAGAGYGGAAAAAGTTCAAAACTTATTTCTAGTGGCAGAACAGACTGGAAGACGGCTGTTTGATGTTAWTTTTTTAARTCATCCTACAGGCTACTTGTTACATAAAATGTTCTACATGTTAGATAAATTTAAAAATGAGGTTTTGAAAAAATTCGTAAGACTTGAAAAAATCCGTGAGATTGTTCTATACRTCCGTATACCTGCAAAATGACATAAAAACGTTATAACTTAGGGACAGTCCATACAATTTGACATGTATGAGATTTCTGTTGGTCCAATGGATCCTGTGATATCCTCAGCCAGGCAGGATGTTTAGATACAGCTTTCATTTTCAGGATTTTGTGGGCCTCACGAGAAGAAGCGCGTGACTGCAAAAACTGTCCATGTAACCAAGTTTTAAAATCTTGTATCCAGCTAAAATGTCTTTTTGATCTTGTTTTGAGACTGATTTACTAAACAAGAACAGAAAATGTAAGAATAATAATCTCGTTTTCAGAATATGTAGGATCACTTATCTTGTTATCCTGGGAATTTGGCTCAGATTAAGTGAAAATTTTCTGCCAGTGGAGTAAGAAAATTTTACTTGGTAAGATTCTTATAATACTTGATTTGATTCAAATTTTTCCTATTTCAAGACCGTCCTGTTCTCCCCAGAACTTTAAATCATTCTATAATTTAAGCTGCTGTATAAGATAATGAAACACACACACACACACACA